GCGTCACTTTGACGTTGCTGCGCACTTGGAGGGCCTTCTTTGGTCTTGGTGACGTGGAATGCTTCCACTGTGACGACTGAATCTTCCGAATGGTTTCCACCTGGCTGTCGCCCAGTTTATGGCAAAATTTGATGCAGTAGCGCTGCTCCAGTCGTTCCGTCATTTTCCTTGCAATGAAAAACCGACGAGAGCACTACATGGCTGCTTGCCAACAACTGACGCAATCAACAAGTGGGAAAAAAATCACGCATGCGCACGAAGGTTCAAAATCGGCTCATGCAAGCGCGCTTGATTCAAATCCATCAGGTTATCGCAAAAAAAAATAAGGTCGGATACTTTTCTCACAGGCCTCGTACAATGCAATGAAATAATTAAAATTAGGAAAGAGAAAGAAAAATACGTCCTTTTATATTTTTTTTAGAATGTCATTAAAGATTATCCTTTTGTTAAATTTGTAATTTTGGGTCTTTTCCTTTTCACATATAGTTAATTTTTAATGATCTCAACGCAAGTCAAGATGCCTTTGAGTCATATTACAGTTTTTTTGGGGGGGCATGTGCTGCAAACCTTCGGCAAAATTTTCTTTCAACATGTAATATCATAAGCCTTGAGAACGGACGTAAAGTATGATGTATATCTTAACAATGTTTAAACCTTTTAATTATGCATTTTAAAACATAACTAACACATAATTAACTAAAATATAATAGTAAGACCTAAATACAATTTAAACTGCATCTCTAGCTATAACATATTTAAGTAAGAAACAACCATAAGTGCTATAGTCAATGAAGCAACCAACAATACTACAGTCAGTTACCTGTACTTTTGTGATGACAACTGCACCCCAATTTCAAAATAACCTTTGTTAAATTATTGTGTAGAATGAGATCTTTCTAATGGCAATGCACGTATGGGCAATAAAGCTCAAACAAACCTATTGAAAGCAGGCATCACATCTTTCAGGAGTTGAAAAAATGTATTACTTGTTTCAACTGTATTCATTCAGAGAACTTTGAAATGTACGAGTCAAAAGGTTATGTAAACATCTTATTGTCTAGATATAACTACTCAACTACCATTGTATTATTGAAGATACAGAGAGTCCAAGTAGAGAATTTTCATAACTTGTTGGTCACGTGACAATACATCTGAAGTTTTAACTAGTATTTAAAACGTTTATTTTGAAATAAAGAACTTGGATAAAATAAAACTTTTAATCATAATACACATGATAATATAAATTTTAAATGTAGCACAGTGACTTGCACAGAAAAGCATTTGAAGGGGCTTCCGTTGTGAAAGGGTTAAGCTCAAAGAAGTTCCATAAAGCTTAGACCAAAATCCCCAAACATGTTGTTATGAAAATAGTGCATTCAAGGGTTTTGTTGATAACTACTTCATCAAAAGATCAGAGATCCAATCTTTGAACTCTGATCCTCTTTGTATCTTGATTTTTTGACATGGATTTAGTCATTAGGAAGTTAATTGAATACATACGTGTTAATGTACATCGCCTGTAAATGTCCATATTGTCAACTGTTGTAAATGACATCAATAAATTGTCCACCTCTATATATTAATTTTTAAATGGTATAAACATTTGTCTATTTGTAAACTTGTTTATTGTTTTTATGATTACCGATTTGGTGTTTTTGTGTGTTGGCATAACTGTTAAACAGTGGGAATGTCAGAACTATATACATCAGAAGAAATTTACTTTAAAAGTAATGTTATGAAAGCTGTTATACAATCTTTTCTCCTATTAAGTCTTGGAGTAAAAAATGATGCAAACCACCAGTATTCACATAGCTAAATAATCATTTGTTATTAAAATATGCAGCTCTAGTAATAATCTTTGACTTAAGAGGGCAGCAATGCAGTTAAATTCTTCCTCTGACTAATATTTTGATTTGTTTAGAAATGAAAGGTGGGTGGATTTTTCAGTAGCCATCTTCCAATGAAAATTGGTGTATTGTGACCAGTGAAATTCAGTTCTAGGCCAAACTACACAAGTTTACTTCCATAATTGGTCAGTCAAAAATCACTGTCACATAGTAATGTGATGTTAATAATTGTGCAAATACGATTTGTTCATCTAAGAGTCTGTATATACCAATGATTTGATTAATATGCCAGATATCCACTGGTTACAAAGAAGCTGTTGTGTTTGGTTGACAACATTTGATCACAAGATGATATGTAAATAAAAGTGTGCAAAAGTGATGTGGGATTATCTTGCCACATTAAATAGGGTGGTTTTCTTTTTGTATAAAGATTATATTTGTGTTATTAGTGTTTATACAAATATGTGCATCGTGGTGGTTAAGGTGCTGAACTTGAAATCTGAGGGTTGCAAACTCGAATCCCCAACACCAAATATGCTCGTCCTGTATGGTAGCTGACTAGGCTAGCCACCTGGGTGGAAATCTCTCTTGACTTGCAACAATTATCAACTGATTCCTAATTTGCTAGGTCTAAGGTTGAAATGGAAAAATGAAAAAGGTGCATATATGTATATCCTTTTCCCCTTCTGACCAGCCTTTTTAGTTTTTACTAGTTGATTTTGAAAATTCTATAACTTTCCATAACTTTTATGTATATCCATTTGTTACCTTGTTTGCTCCATAGTGATTACTTTATCATAGCCTTCTGTTTATCTAAACTATTGATACTACCGAACATCAACCAAAATTGTAACTTGGATCAGTCATTATAACATCTTATTTTTGCTTCTGTCTCTGAAACATCTCATTTTCTGTAATGGTAACCAACAAACAAATGATCATTTTCATAAAAAATCTGAAATTGGGATTACGAGCTGTTCTCTTTATTGAAAAAAAAAAAATTGAAAAATATATTCAACTCAAAATAGTTTATTCACTTCCTCAT